ACCACAAGCACCCAGCCTGGGAGACAAATGAAAAGAAGTGGGAGACAAATGACTAACAAAAAGAAGTGGGAGACAAATGAAAGGAAGTGGGAGACAAGCCGGCCGGGAATCATCCAGCACCAAGGCGACCATTCTTTAAAGCATTGAGAACCCCTAACAGTAAACTGTTTGGGGAATGATGACCACCTCCTCTGAAATCCGAGCACTAACAAAAATGGAGCTCGTGACACACCAACAGACATCCTGTATCACTTTATCACGTCAGAATCTTCGGGAGGGTGCCCAGGCACCCAAGAATTGAAGGCTTTCTGATGTGATAATATGTGATACACGTTCCGATGACCGGATAGATGCTTCCGGCGTGGAAGCAGTAGAGGCCCCAGCTTGCCCGTGCAGGATTGAGTGGTTTGGGATGTTTGAATGTTTGAGAGAAGGTTGAGGGAGATGAGCTTTCTTGGAGGACTCTATTTAGGGCGGAGGGTGTGTCAAGGGCCGCAAAGCGCTCCCAGCCAGGATCAGCAAGGGTTGGTGGGGAAATGTCCACAATTACATGACCGCAAGGCAGCTTGACACCCGGGAGAAAGTGCCAAGTGGATTCTTCCAAGCATCCAGATGTTGATATTAAAAAGTTGACCAATCTCAAAGGCAGCTTCAACAGCTGGCTTTCTGGCCATGTCTACCAAGGCTCAGGTTTCTGGAACTTCAACGCGGCCACATGGGCAGAAAGCACAGCACCTGGCAATGTTGGCACCCTGGTTGTTGTACCCACAACGCGTTACAACTGCCTGAATAGGAAGGAATGTCACAACTGACATTGCAGCATTCCATCTACAAAAGAACCGTTGGCAAGCGGGGAGCGACCATGATGCGGAAAAACATGTCCGCATGTTGTGCGGCTTCAGATATTCCACAACATGTCCGAGGGCCGACATTGTCTTGACATGTTCCAAATCAATGATACTATACCCAAATATAGTAAGCCTTTCAAGCAAAGAAAACCAAAACTGGTGGTCATTGACTCCTGATGTCGTTCCATTCCTTGAATATGTGCTTAGGGTACATATCCACTTTGCCACATCGAAGGTCAAACCTTTTACTTCGACGTCTGTACCATCTGAGGGGCCGAAGACACAAATACTTTGTGCATCTTGTGGCACAAGACTTGGTCGCCCCCGGGTACAAACCCTGGAGGCCACAAAAATGGAATGCCACACCGTACATGGTGCTCCGCAAGTCTCAAGCGTCTTTCTCCTCCTTCTACTGGCCATATCCTGATTTCTCCGCATGTGCGTCGCTGAGAAGATCATTCTCAAGGACTGCACGAAATCGGATCTTTCCACTTCGCACTTTTTCCAACGCCTCCTCAGCCTTGGAATGGGGGAACCGTTCGATGATCGGCTTGACTCCATGCTTGGCTGCAAACTCGAGCATGTCCCTACACTGCTGGGTAGAACCCACCGGAGAGCAGGAAATGCTGCGCCGTGTGAACATCATGGTCATCAAGTCCAAGGTGAGGGGCTTGTCAGGGATGCCCACAAAGTGCAGAGTGCCGTAGGGTGCCAACAAGTTGATGTATGGATGCACATCAAGTTCTCCTCCCGAGATGCACGAGATGAGAAAATCGAAACTGCGGGCAGCTGCCTCCATGTCGTCCTTGCTTTCCGAGACTAAAAATCCGGTGGCTCCCAGTTGGAAGGCGAAGTCTTTCTTGGCTTCGTTCCGGGCAATCACCACCGTCTCAGCTCCCATTTTGGCTGCGAACTGCACCGCCAAGTGGCCCAGGCCTCCGGGGCCAATGACGCCCACCTTCTTGCCCTTGAGAGAGCCGGTGTTGCCTCCGATCGGGAAACATGTATAGAAGATTACAGAAGACTTAGACGTTTCATGGTGTTAGACTTGTTCGAAGATGTCAAGAAATGTGGGATGCCATGGCGGGTTTGACTTCATCTCAAGTTAAAACAAACGCTTCGAAACTGCACAACCTCACTCTTTGGTTTTCCTATTCTGACATCGAACATCTTCCAACCCAGTTTCAGAAAAAAACGGCAAGAGACCCCAAGCAGTGTGTGTGAGGTCTGTAAGCAGAAAGTCTAGAGATCTAGACGCATTGGGGTCCAGAGAGGTGATGGTGATGAAGGTGACCGCGGTGACGGTGGCGGTTGAATGAGTGAGTGAGTGAGTGAGTGAGTGAGTGAGTGTGAGTGAGTGAGTGTGAGTGAGTGAGTGAGTGTGAGTGAGTGAGTGAGTGAGTGTGAGTGAGTGTGAGTGAGTGTGAGTGAGTGTGAGTGAGTGTGAGTGTGAGTGAGTGTGAGTGAGTGTGAGTGAGTGTGAGTGAGTGTGAGTGAGTGTGAGTGAGTGTGAGTGAGTGAGTGAGTGAGTGGGTGAGTGAAGTGAGTGAGTGAGCGAGCGAGTGAGCGAGCGAGTGAGTGAGTGAGGGAGCGAGCGAGTGAGTGAGTGAGAGTGAGTGCGAGTGTGAGTGAGAGGCGAGTGTGGGTGAGTGAGAGTGAGATTGAGAGTGAGAGTGAGAGTGAGAGTCAGAGTGAAAGTGAGAGTGAGAGTGAGAGTGAGTGTGGGAGTGTGAGTGTAAGTGCGCGTGAGTGAGAGTGAAGGTGGGTGTGAGTGAGTGTGGGCGCGAGCGAGTGCGAGTGAGAGTGGGAGAGTGAGTGTGAGCACGAGTGTGAGTGGGAGTGAGTGTGGATGAGAATGAGTGTGAGTGAGAGTGAGTGTGAGTGTGAGTGCGAGTGTGAGTGAGAGTGGGAGAGTGTGTGAGTGCGAGTGAGAGTGAGTGTGAGTGTGGGTGAGGGTGAGAGTGTGTGGGAGAGTGAGCAACTGAGCGCACAAAGTACTGCGCCTGCCACGAAATCTGCACTTCGAGGTTCACGAAGCGCTGTGCCTGCCACGAAATCTGCACTTCGAGGCTCACCAAGGGCTGTGCCTGCCACGAAATCTGCACATGGAGGTTCACAAAGTGCTGTGCCTGCTACGAAATCTGCACATGGAGGTTCACAAAGTGCTGTGCCTGCCACGAAATCTGCACTTGGAGGTTCACAAAGTGTTGTGCCTGCCACGAAATCTGCACTTCGAGGTTCACCAAGTGCTGTGCCTGCCACGAAATCTGCACTTCGAGGTTCACCAAGTGCTGCGCCTGCTACGAAATCTGCACTTCAAGGTTCATCAAGTGCTGGACCTGCCACGAAATCTGCACTTCGAGGTTCACCAAGTGCTGCACCTGCCACGAAATCTGCACATCGAGGGTCACAGAGTGCTGCGCCTGCCACGAAAGCTGCAAACGAGCCACATGTCCAAAAGTCACGATTCACTGCACCTGTCACGAAATCTGAGCTCCTCGACGATCACCACCATGCCCACAAAGTGCTGCGCCTGCCACGACAACTGCACTTTGAAGCAAAACAGCTCCGATCCCTTGCACCTGTCACGAAAAGTCGACTTTGAAGACCACCATGCGCGAAAATGCGCACGGCACCACAACGAGAGCGCAGTCGCCAGAAGCACCCGCCGCAGACACTCAGATTCTGCGAGCCTGCGCAGTCGAAAAGCGCATGGACGATGTCGAGAGGCATGAATGTACTGTAAATGGCAACGAATTAGCCGGTCACGGCCGCGCGCTTCAGCGATCTAAGCATCAGCTGCTTTTCACCCACCGTAAGAACCCCTAGTGTGTCCACACTGTTTGGGGAAAATAAACATCCCAAGAACTCTCCAACTGCAAGAATGATGGCAAGCCTGGCCTGAAAATTCATTGAGCGGTGTGAAAGTGGTGACACCTGCACATAGCAGTGGAGCTGCCTCTGCCGGATCCAAACCTTCTGGGATTTTCAACACCTTCGAGGCTGGAGTTCGGATGTAGGACGCAAAACCACCGCGATGCTGAAACTCTCCGGTCTCATCGACCACCGTGTGGAAATAAGTGAACTTCAGCTCCGGGCACAAATTGTCGCGCTGCTGCGTGGTGCATTTGGGGCATTTTTCACAGCTCTGGGCCAGGCAACCGAGTCCCACCAAGTCGCCCTTCTGGAAGCCTGAGACTTTAGAACCATAGGACACCACCTCTCCCACAATTTCATGGCCAGGAATCAGAGGATATACGGAAAAGCCCCAAGCATTGTTGATCATGTGAATGTCGGTGGCGCAGATGCCGCACTTCGTGATCTTGATGGTGACGTCGTTCTCTCCTTCAGGCTTTAAGTCGTAGTTCCATACGGAGACCTTCTCGCCCGCTTCCATGGCCGCCATGGCTGGAACGTTCGGTGGGGCGGCCATTGCTCGCCTTCAGGACCACGAATGGAATGCCCGTGTTTGAGCTATCTGTCACAGCTGCCACAATGGTGCTTCCGTCATGTTCGCAAGAAGCCAAACACTTGCAACAGGCACGTACATCCGATTCGAAGCTGAAGAACGTCAGGTCATGGCAAATTATATCAAATGATGGTACCATTATATCAAGCTGTGACTTCTAAACCCTGCCAAAGGCGCCCAGTGCCAGAAACATCTGCATTGCCTAGGCAAGGACGCTACTAGGGGCTCCTGGCATCGCTACTAGGAACAAGGACGCTACTAGGGGCTCCTGGCATCGCTACTAGAAGCAAGGACGCTACTAGGGGCACCTGGCATCGCTACTAGGAACAAGAAGCTATTAGGAACAAGAATTAGAATTCAATTTGATCTAATTAGAATGGCAAAGCAGCCAAAACGCCCTGAGAGTCATCAGGCCGAAGCCATGCCCACTCCCCTTCGTCGGTGGGCTGCTCAACCAGATTCAATCCGTTATTGTATCCGATCTACCGAGGGATCCTACTACTTATATAAAGAACAAGCATCAGCTCATACAAGATCCGCTGAGGGAACATCACGAGGGTTGATCAGGGAATGAGCTAACATACAGAGGCTCTCAAAGACTTCTTCACCAAAGCGTGCAACAAGTCCCCTGGCTTTACGAAGCCGGCCCATTAAACTTCTCATGCACGTCGTTGTGTCATTGTGCGTACTTCCACACCCAAGGGCGAAATCGAAGCCATCACTTGCACATTGAGAGAAGCACCAAACTATATAACGGATAGATACTGAGAATATCATGCATGCAAGCATTGCAGAAGCGACTTCAATCAGATCAAATGAGAGTCACTCCCTGCAAATCAGGCTTCACACCCACTGGTCGCTGGTTGGCTTCACCCTAAACCCAGGTCGTCCACTGTTCTCCGAGCGTCGGAATGGGGCATCCCGCGCGCGCCCGCGGCCGTGTGGCCGGCGCGGGAGGCTGAACCAAGATTGGTTCTGGAAGCGAGGCGGCGAGTCTTCCCCGCTGAAGACTTCAATTCCGAGCGGCCACGACAGGGAATTCCAGGTAAGATATACACGTGGAGATACAATACAATCTCCCTCCAATCCAGCCTGCTTGTGTCGAAGGATCATGTCCAAATGAAATACCACAAATTACCGTACTGCTACCAAACTTCCGTAGCTACTACTGTTCCTTGGCATTTCAGGCATTCCAGATCATTCGCGCTCCTACTTGACGTCAAATCGAGAAACTGCAATTCTATGCTTGAAGGACATGAATGATCTTGCCTCATTTGCTAGATATGAAATATAGGAACCCAGTCTTCTCTTTCGCTCAAACCTTGTGTCTACACTACACGTCGACGTTGACTTCCTCCCTACTTGGTCAATGCTCCTCAAGCCCCACGCGTCAAACACCCCTTTTGCTCGTGACGGTCTCCGCGAATGACAGCCATCCCAGCGCGTCCAAGACCAGTAGGGCCTGGCTGACAGCCCCAAAACAAATGCTTCCTGGGACAGAAGGGAACCATATACAGAAGGGAACTGTTTTGCCACTCAGAAGCTGTTTTCTAGGTGTTTCCCCTTCAGTCCTTGAAACGATGGTCACCAGTTGATCTTTCACCATCGACAAAGCTAAGTTTGAAGATTACTGATCCACGACTGCCACAACTGCTTTTGGTTGTCCTAAGCTATGGCCTGGTGAACCAGCGACGCGCTTTTTCCGTCGTTTTCTTCCGAGTGCGGATGGGCGAAAATCGCCCAAGCTTGACGGTACGGCGAAGCAAGCATCGTTGAACGAAATTCCAACGGCAATACGGTAAAGTGTTGGCGTCTGTTTGGAGAGAAAACAGCAAGTTGAACCGCTGGATTTAGGTAGCACCAACATGTTGTTGCTCCAATTCGCTCCACCCACCCAGCGCTGTTGAATGCCAAACGTCTTCCTGGCAAGTACAATTCCGGCCAGTCCACTTTTTGAAAGAGGAAAATCCGGTCTATGCACGTGTTCCAACTGTAGGGTCTAATTATATAAGTCTTCATGCCAACTTGGACATTCGGATCTGAGACGAACCCAGCCGTTCCCGCGGCTTTTTCATGGCATCACGCCGGCCTTTGCGCAAGATGGTTCGTGGTGTCGTCGCCTCATCGTCATGGGACAAAGATCAACCCGATGGCTGGCCACTCCGAAGGTGAACTAGTGAAAAATTGGACAATCCCGTCAGGATTTATTTTCACCTACTCCTTGCCCGTCATTGATCTCAGGTCGTAGTCTGCAAGAAATAAGTGTTCATATCAGGATAAAGCTGGTTCTGATGCTGCTTCATGCTGCATTCTTTCTCATCACAAGCATGTTCACCCACAGGAATGTTCCATATCTGTCAAACAATATGACAAGGTACTTAATATGTTCACCTCCCCCAAAGAGATAAAAGAGTATTGAAAACCGTTTCAAGGCCACTATATGCCTACAATACATACGTCACCTCTCACCCTGCCCTGGGCGTCCCTGGCGGAAGTGCCCGGACTATCCGAAACGGTACGGGGACGCCGCTCTCGCCTGCGGAAACAAGGGAAACAAGGGGTGCCAGGGCACAAGCAAGAGAGAGAGAGAGAGTGGACAAGAGAAAAAGAAAGAAGTTTTTTGTTCTTTGGTGATTGGGATGGTGATGAGTTTGAGTCTTTTGTCTGGGATGTGTTCTCGTCGATGTTCCACCCGCAGTCGTTGAGATATATAATTCCATCTCAACTAACGTGTCAATCCGTGGACACGTGACGTAAGTCACACTCGCCTTGACTACAACCAGTGTCTTGTTTTGCTGCTATCCGCTACCAATTCACATACAGTACAGGATTAGCTGATTAGCCGTGAACAGAGGATGACGTGAGAATTTGCAGGTTGGAGAACTCATGTTGGAGGCCATTGCTATCAGGTTAGAGGCCATCGCTAGCAAGTTGGAGGCCATCCCCATTAAAGGTTGGAGAAATCATGTTGGAGGCCATTGCCATTGCTATCAGGTTAGAGGCCATCGCTAGTAAGTTGGAGGCCATCCCCATTAAAGATTGGAGAAATCATGTTGGAGGCCATTGCCATTGCTGGAGGCCATCGCTATTAAAGGTTGGAGAACTCATGTCTGACTTTGCAGACCTCACGAGCTTTCAATCAATGAAGCTTGGGTTCGTTGACCATCTGACTCGACTCACCATGTGACTCGACGCACATGCTCGAACTCGCCGTCTCCGTTGCTTGGGTGTGACGAAACAGAAAAAGGGGACTGTGAACCAGTACAATCAAGCAAGTGGTCAATGGGTCAAATAAAGCATGACAGACATCCGATGTTTTATTTGCTCAAACCCACCCGCTCGCTTGCGACACTTAGATTGGTCCAGCCCTGGCCTGGGCGAGTGCCCTTCGAGCTCTGCCCTGGCGATGCCCACAAACATAAGATGCTTAAGTTGACCATCTGACTATCCAAACAAGCAAAACGTGCGGAATCGTAGCTCTTCCTCTGTTGTAGGAGTTTCAAGGAGTCTCAAACGAGTTCTCTACTTGTGGGGCTTAAATGGCAAGGGTCAAGCTGAATTCTGAAAGTCGTGTACTGTCATCCCTGATGTTGAGCAAAAACCCGCTGACTAAAAACATGCTACTCGCCACCCACAAAAGGCACCAGTCTCGTATCATTAGGCAAGCAAAATGTCCTTTGGACCAAGAGCTGACTATCTGCCAACCAATGAAACTGCTTCTTTTTGGCGGTGAACCAATGGCATCCATCACAACTGATGAGAAACCGGCGGTCTTCTTTAGACCCACCGATCCCACCCCCTGTGCACCTAGCAGTTTGAGCGCGTTCCACATCTAGTTCTGTCCTTGGAGCATTGCCGTTGATGGACGAAGCTAAGTCGAAGCTAAGTCTTGATAGCCAAGGCACATGGAGGTTCCAGGAGGAGCCTCTAGTTCCTGCAACGGTTCTGCAGCAGTTGTACAGGGAGTCCAGTTTTTCAGTCTTGTGGGTTTCGGAGAAGTCATGAGGAACAAAAAGCACCTCTCAAAGCGATTCGGACCGTCTTCGCCGCAAGACTGCGGTGATGTTCGTGTGGTTTTCTTTCACTGACTTTGTACATCAAGCATGCGAATCAATGCGACGCACGCATCCCATCAAAACGTAGGACTTCTGACCCGTGCATCAAGAAGTGCATTGTGGAGCGAGGTTTGCTGTATTTTCTGGTTGGCAAATCTTTCGGGTTCACATCTGGTTGAGGGAGTGAAACAATGTGGTGGTCAGCATCTTCAAACGTATCTACCCTGCTCTGCTCATGATGCAATTAGCTAGGTCATGTCTAGAGACATATGAGTCATATGAGTTCATATAGTGGAGAGGCTAGCCAGGATGACTCCCTTTATATAAAACCATTCGCCGACGCTGTTTAAAGGTACCGCGTTTGGCTGTTTAGTGACGGAGTTGCTGCGAGTTTCTCAAAAGCTTCTCACACCTTTTTGCTGCAAAGATCAATTCTGAAAGCGTTCTTCTCATCAACAGAGATCGAAAGAGTGGCCGGGTTTGATCTGATCAAAACTTTTCACGCTCCCGGTCGTCCTGCCGAAACTCGAAAAAGAACTCACGTTCCCGTCCTGGTCCTCGGTGCTAAGTCGTGCTCGTTCTTCCTTGGTTCGTGCGTCCGGCTCGCGGAACAGCACCACAGAAATGAAAGCGATGCTATTTTAAGATCTTTTAAGTGTCTTAAAGAGATGGATCTCATTGTGTCAACTTCTGTCCCATCTCTCGGGAGGCCGTGGATGTTCGACGGATAATTACTAGCTGTGTTTTGAGAAGGCTTCGGGGTCTGTGGCCATCACTTCTAGGTTGGAGGCCATCGCTAGCAGTTTCGATTGGAGGCCATTCCTATTATTCATTTCCTGGGTCGGGCGGGCTGCTCCTGGCAGACCCTGTCGCACGTTCGGGATCGGGCTTGGTCGGGCTTCGTCCCCTTGACCATTTACAAAACAACGACAGTGAGCCCGAACCGCCAACAGCTACCAGGTTCAGAACCATATTCAAGCTATCAACGTTCCCCAAGCGATATACAAAGTGAAATGGAAGATGAGTCACAGAGCATATATATATATATAACTATACATAAAGTATCCGATCATTCTTCCAGCTTTTTTACGTCTTTCCTGCGTTTTTGGGGTCCTCTTGACATCGCCCCATGTAAAGACTCCTCCACTAGACATGTTCGTCCCGATCTGCCCGAAGAAATCCGATGTCTGCCCGATGTTTTTTGAGTATCCACACCATAGAGGCGCCTGTCACCGGGAGTCAGGATGAAACATGAGCGTCCAGTGACTGCTAGCGGCGCAACTGTCCAACGTCGCCACCTCTCACCTCAAACCGTTACGTGTAGCGTCACGACGCACACCACACGTCTCCATATGTTTAGGCCAAAAGGCATGCAAACGGGCCGAGTACGTGATATAGATACCTCTTGATTCAATGTAGCTGGTATGGAAGGCCATAAACCCCAAAACAGAAAAACTTTGACAGAGCGAATACCCAGAAAGAACCGCTGCACTGTTGAAAATGCCAGGATCTTTATCGACCCCAAATCATCCCTAAGGCCCTGCAATACCAGAATGTCCATTAGGTCGTAAACCGTCCGTTTCGGCTTCACTTCCGAAGAAGTCCTGATTCACTCGGGTCGTGCTCAACCCGTCAATCGCACATTTGAACAAATCGGAGCGTCCTTTTGGATTGTTGTCAATACGATCATACATCACGATATATACATTTACATCCCTATCGAGTAATTATTCTTGAAGGCCCGATAAAAGAAAAATGTTCTTTCAATCCTTGCTTGCACTTTCATAATTTCTGGTGTCAACTCGGCAAACATCTCTCAACCCCACAGCCCAACGAGTTTCGATCTCTTTCCGTTTTCCTCCAGGGAAGGCATCTTGGCCCCCGTTGACTCACCGGAAAGCTCCGGCCCCTCCCAAAACGCCTGGCACTTCGCCGTCCTACCGATGGCGTGCCATCCGGGACAGCGAGAAAACAAAGCGCTGGAGGATGTGAAGCGATGCAAAGTGCTCGGGGTTTGTAGGTACGCAATCTCAACACCATGCTCCAGAAACCATGAGGTCTCAAATGAAGATACTGGAGGTGCATAGCGGTCCCGGAAAGACCCAACTCAGTGGCTGGATTTCCCATTTATGGGAAAACCAAGGGAAAACCTTTTCCATCCAGTCCATTCTTTCGGTGCTTGTTCAGGATTAGGATCAGTGGGCAGGTTGTTCATGTGCTGTTTCTTCGTTCTTTGCCATCTCGATTGCACAGAATCAGCCCCCGCCTCCATGAGTGAATATTGACTCTGGTAATGTTACCCCGATGCACGCATGCACGACATCCCGCTTCTCTTCCAGGCAGTCTCACAGGGACGACCACACCTTCTGCAAGACTGTTAGATTACTGCAAAACGATGGGTCATTCTCAGTCAAAATCGTTCAATACAAACACCTGCTTCGTGTGAGATGATGCAACAAGATCAACAAGTTCGACAAGTTCTCCCTTTCCTTAGGTTCATGTCAACTTCGACCTGAAAATACAAGTTTGACCTGACAGAATGTAGAAATCGTTGCATAACCTCTTTCATTGAATTTCAGAGGGGAACAGTTTCCTGCACTAGGTTCCTTTCCTTTTTGTGCCGCATCCCGTGGTCGTCCTCACCAGGAGATGTGGGTGAAGGGACTTCATCGAAGTCGGCGAAACGATGGATGGTGACCTTGAACGGCTGCCGCGCAAAACACGCGCAAAGCAACCACAGATGACAATAGCAGACTCAGGGGCCCCTGGTATCTCTTTGTTTGGCCTGGCTATTTTCAGGCGACATGTCCATGTTGCAGTTGAAGAAGGGCCAGGCTGTGAGAAGACCAACCCCCAAACCTCGACTGAAAACGACCTGAAATGCAACAGGATGAGGCGCATGAAAAGAATTCCAAATGCAGAATAACCAAAAAATGATCGAAGTCAAGCCCTGCCCTTTGGACATGCGCTAGCAAAGTGTCCAGGACTTTTACGTGGACAACTCGGCCAGGGATGAACTCTGATGCTAGTAGAAACAATAAGCTACTACCAAGTGCCTTACTAGTAGTAACAAGAAGCTAGTGAACTCTGAGGTAGATGTCCGTGACGAGACAGACTCGTACGGCCGAATCCACCTCCGACCGTCAATCCGTTCAACAAGACCCTTGAAACGAACTGAGGTGTTGCCCAATCCCAGTTCAAGAAGACCTGCACCAGTGCTAGGAACAAGAAGCTGCTAGTAACAAGGGCATTACTACTAGTAGCATTCTTGCTATTAGTAAGAAGAAGCTACTAGTAACAAAGGGCATCGCTACTAGGAGCAAGGACGCTACTAGTAGCTCCTGGCATTACTACTAGGAACAAGAAGCTACTAAAAGACCTGCACTCAAAGCATTTCGAAGCCAAGAAGCCCAAGAATCAAGAGTGATTTCATCCACAAAGGCCCTCTTCTCTGGTCGTGGCGTCAACATTGCCCTGCCAGGCTTCAGTGCGGTTGCGATTTCTCAGTTGACCTATTTCCTCAATGGAAAACAAAAGCATGAAAAATAACACCCTGGATTCTATAATCACTGCTGTCAGCAGAACTATCAAAAAGGAAGGCCCTGCCAACCACATATCATTGCCTCCGGCAGATTTGTTTGCCACATTCCAAGTGTTCTTTGAAGACCAGCCCACTCATCTGTTGTGTCAAAACAACTGCAATAGAGGATAATACAGGTGGGTGGTTTCAAATGCAACAGTTTCAAGGAGCATTTTGAGACATGGAATTTCAAGCAATTCCGGTATCAAATACCACAAGCATACCTGTCTTGAAGATCTTGAAGAGATCCTTAGCCATCTATGTCATGTCAAATGTCTGACACAATATGTACAGTACATGGTAACATGTCTAGCATTAGAAGGGGCAAAACTAAACATTCCAACATCCACCTGATAGCCACATTTCTTGATACAGGGAACTTCTTCATCCAGACTCCCACGGGTTCAGTCGCGCCTGACAATGCGGCGATAGTTGGTGGAGGCGGTCTCCTTGAAGCTCAACCTGAACGAACATCAGCCGATGAATGCCCCAATGGAGGAAACCAGACGCCCAGCCTGAACGTCAATCAACTGAACATCTCAATGAACATCGGGTTGGTTTGAGGTGATTGGGCTGTAGTGAGACAGTGATGCGAAGAGGTGCAGAAATGATCGAAACGGATTTGGAGGAGTCTATGTATATGTGTATATGTCATGTCTATATATATATATATCCCGGAGCATCGAGCACATGGTCACCTAAAGACGTGCCCACGCCATGAGCAGAGGCGTCTACAAAACTTTCACAACCTGGTCGTGGTTGTTGTTGCAGGGATACCCTCCACTGGTTCAAGTAGTTGAGGGTCATCACTAATCTGCAATGCTAGCTAGGTCGATCATCAACCACTCTGAAGGCTGTCTGCAATGGTTAAAGACACTGCCTTCGCAGGTGTCGCCACCGTCCAAATTGAAAACCGAAGGTGTCTCAGAAAGCGGGTTTGATCTTTTTGCGTCCATCAGGTTGCATTGAGTGGCGCACACTTGGGGAGAAACGTCTTCGAGTGCGCACCCGGGTGTTCCTTTGTGGCCTGGGTCTTGTGAGATGGTGGGAGACTGGGCCACCCCAGCCCATCACTTTCTATCCTGGCGCACGTCTCACGATCTGGGCGTCCAAAAGGTAACCTGGGCGTCCAAACTGCTCTTTCGAGGCTTCAAAGGCAAGGCAAAGCGATGAGGGCTGATTTCTGCCAAATGACTCTGGGTTTTCTGAAACAGCTGGCGCGCTGGCACACACACTTAGGACGCCAGCCTAAGTGGAAACCTAGTAATCCAGGTAAATTGAAGCCTGAAAGGAAATAGAGCGGAGTCCAACCATGAAGCCCAAATTCTTCAAAGGCCAAATCACGAAGTCTACAGAAGTGAGCGGCGAGCACTTGTCTGCACACTTGTCATCACCTAAACAGCCTGACTTCTAGAGGAGAGCATAGTTACCAAACGCCACACTTCAGCAGGTATACGGAGGTGATCAATCTCCGCTTCCCCCATCGTGGAACAGCTTCGTTGGCACAGGTATCCACGATGGGCCTTTGCCCCCTGCTAAAAGTAAGAATCTTCAAGCCAAAACTTCAACGGAAGCCCTCCGGTTCCAAGGGTTTCACAAACACACACCCACACCCACACGCAGACGCACACACGGACGCACATCCAGTGTTTGAAGCCATGTAAACTGATGAGAGGAGAAAAACCTCAAACGAGGTTCGATGAGCTTTGTTACAAGAAGCTACTAGTAACAAGGGCATCGCTACTAGTAACAAGGGCATTACTACTAGTAACAAGAAGCTAGTAACTTGAGTTGATCATTTCCTGTGCGAGACAAACCGAGAGATCTTCGGCAGCCCTCCCCAACCCACCTGCCATGGCAGAGAGCATACAGGATGACGCCCAGGGCCCAAACCTGAAACGCCAGCTCCACGTGCTCTGGGGCCAAACCGAATCCTCCGGATTTAGGAGATAAAGCCCTACATACAAATACCATACCCATCGATGTTTCTCCACGTCCCTCTCTTTTTGGGTTGCAACAGTGTTTTGTCTGTGTGTTCGCGATCTTTCTTTCAGTCCATCGGATCCAGATCGGACCGAAAGGGATGGATGTTTGGGACAGCACTTTGCGATGGGATCCGTGCATCAATCTTGTAGGGATCCGCATCTCCAGAGCATCCGTTGAAAACCTGCACGAGGGTAAGCACCACGGAACAGGCCAACGTGTGGGGCCTCCTTCGCCAATCGGACATCCTGCATTCAAGTTTGAATGCTCACAAAGGCCAATTTACAAAACCAGACCAAGCTGTAACTGTATAAATAGTATAAATCAAATCGTCACGATGCGGCATGCTCATGCACCACCCACGTTTTTCAAAGTACCTCTGGTGCGAGGTACGCTTCAGTTCCTGCATCAGTGACTGTGCGCTCCTGGATGGCAAGAGGGAAGGTTTGGGAAGGTTGCTTACCTGGCTACGGTTGCTAAATGTGGAGAGGAAGCGATGGACCCTGCAAAAGAAAACCGATGCCACAAAATTTGTGGGTCATTAAGATGTTGAGTTGCGGACGTGTGCTTTAAAATCTGTCCATCAAGCATTTCCATGCTCAAGCAAACGCATCCTGCATGAACACCCCAAAGTGGCCCTTCACAACATTGAAATCCATGCCCGATCAGACCGTTTGAGGCGATGCACAAGAATGTTGTAAGCTGGCCCTCGAACATAGCCTACCAGGCACTACCGGGCCCAACAAAAAGCCTCAGCTCATCGTGAAGTCGAAGGGGGAAGGGAGTAAGTCATCCATGGCAGGTCCTTCGAGGAGACATAGTCAGAGAGCCCAAAGTCCACAATTTTGCACCTGCAGAGCTTGGGATGGCGTAGGCATGGAGATCTTCGGAAGTATGGTGCGCGTAGATAGATGTGCGAAGAATGAAGGATGGCGTAGATGAGCTTCGATGCATGTCATGTAAGGAAGTCATGACGGGCATTGTTTCTTGTCATGTTTCATCTGACTATGTCATCGTCTAACAGCGTGGAGAGTGACTGTCTCTTGGGGTTTCCGGATGGACCCTACCCTGGGTGGACTTCGTTTTTTTTTGGCGCTTCATCATCCCGAACCAGCAGCCATGTCCCATTGCCGGCATTGATGCTACCGCTGGTTGAAAATGAAGATAGAGTTCTTTTGACTGTGGGGCAACAGGCTGGAGTGCACTCATGATATGGAAGATCAAATAAACCAAACCATGACATGCCCCTACAGTATCAGTAGGTCAACCGCAGCGTCAAAATGACCTCTTGGACTGCTCCGCCTGTTGTGAGCATCAAGGAGCACATTTTCGAGTTTCAGGTCCCGGTGGATGATCTTCTTGCTATGGATGTAGTGCACCTTTTCGCAGCTGGGCTCGGCACTCCCTCCACAGCAAAGAGAGTCCTGGGGTTTATGGCGGGTTCCTCCTCCGCTACTAGTAACAAGAAGCTACAGTAGTAGGTTGGAGGCCATCACTACTAGTAGCAAGAAGCTACGAACGTAGCGTCCTTGGGTCGCTCTTGGGCCCAGCACAGCCCTGACGATCTGCTTGAAGAAGGTCCGGGCCTACATGCGAAGGGCGGTTTGGCTGGGGCGGGCCTCCTTGGTGTGGTCTCCCAACAGATTTGGATGGATTTGGTAGGTAGTGGCACACACCTTGCTATATCCTGTGGGCGGATAAACCCTGCACCACTTGTGGGAGGACTGTGTCTTGTACCCTTGTGTGACATACGCTGGGGCATTCGGCATCAAAGAAATATGCATGTGCGACGCTTGAGACCTTTGATGAAACCCTACACCACCTGCCGGATCCTACCAGCTTTAAACACACGCGTTGAAAGAAGCGCAGGGTTTCTTGTCATATCTAGTCCTATATGTCGGGACAGGTGATGTTCTGAAGTAGCGCGAAATATCTACCGACCCCAGCCAGGAAACCCGCGGAGCTCGCCCCGAGCGTGTAGCCCTTATGCTTGACAGCTAAGACGCTGCAACTGTTCGAGGGTTTGCTGGCCCATTGTGCTTTTCACAGGCATGACCTTTTCAACACTTGCCCATCATCCGAAGACGCTTTAGCTCGACACACGCGATCTGACAGATCAAAGCTTCAATGGGGGAGTTGGGAAGTACGAGATTGCAAAGCTACTTTGAGCGGTAGTGAGCTAGTAGAAAGTGCGAGATTGTACACATTTGTAGATATGTAATGTATCTCAAAAAATTCTCTGAATATATGATCACTGGTCCTACTTTTGGCGAATATGCTACCCCAGAAGCCCAGCATTCTGCAAGCCCCTTGGTGATTAATTGCCATGTCCAAGGATTCCGTCAGACCGCTCTCAGACAGAATGATATATATATATAATTCCTTTGGGGTGGAGAGCATCTTAGAAGGAGACAGCATGTGATCTCCAAAGCTGGGACCCATGAGCACTGCGACACCACTGAACAAACAAGGTAGCCACTTGCCCGAGACGTTTGAATTGGACTCGGCACCTCTTCCTCTTCTAAACAGGAATGCCGCTCCACATAGCCACGCCTTGGAGTGACAAGAAAAATCCATCTCTTCATTCCCCTGCTGAGTGCGTCGATCTCAGCCCTAATGCCCATTAAAGAATCCCGTGTTTCAGCCTGATCCATAGATTCTCATTCTAACCCGTAGAACTGTGTCGACAGGGACGTGTGTTCAACATGCTCATTCAGCACGTTCAAGCAAAGCCAAAATGATCTTGGCTTTGAGCCCGATAGCTATGGGTAGAGAACCAAGGCCCCGTTGGCCCGAAGTGCTCGTTTCACGCCACCGACTCGCCGTTTTCAGGCTCCGGCAACTCACCGCCTGCAGCGAATTCCATGATGAAACAAATCGAATCAGGATGATCAGCAACCTCGGCCGGGTGTGACAGGTTTTTCATGCTATAACCACCCATGCTTTCGTGCAAAGGTCCTCTTCTTTGCTCGGAAAGTGCTGTACCGCAAGTAGGGGCAGGGTGTTTTGAGAATTGATTCAATATTGTAAACAGCTTCGTTGACTGTGAAAAAGGGAGTCTGAACCCTATCATGAGTTCTTTCTCAAGGATGAGGCAATTCTATATAGTTGCTGATTTGTTGAATGACATGAAGCCACAAAGTCCTACTTTGTCCCCCATGAAGCACAAGGAGGTGTTAAGTCGTCACAAACACCGATTGAGGCTCGGGCGTCTAAGACGCGAATGATATGAGGGTGACGCAAATTTCGAAGGGCCTGATCTTCAAGCTTCAATAGAAGTCGGAGGAAAGAGTGCAAATTTTGAAGGGAGAGGAACGACAAGAAAAGGAGAGGAGCCCGAGCTGAATCGAAGCCCTGCTTCAGAAGTCTCATTTTGCGGAAAAACAAACTACACCTGTCATAAGAGAACTGCATCTATATGCCAACCAACAGACGCCACATTGCGACTCCTACAAAAAGACAACACCTACGAAATCCTACGAAACCTTTCCAGTTTGCGGCCCCTTGCACAAACTGAGCGAGTAAGGCTCGAGTCCCATCGGGCTCAACATCGCTGTCTTTGTGGGAACGAGGTCTGGAAGGACCAAAGATGAGCAGCAGAAGGTTGGTTCTGATCAAAGAATAAAGAATGAACAACTCGGGTGATTTAGAAAGCAAAGCATCAACTTTGACAATAGACAATGCCCCAAGGAGAGTCGTCCAGAAGATCCAGCCTGAATTTCTTGAAAGACGCGCTGCAGGTCTGAAAACTGCCGAAAGCTCTTTTTTGGCACCTCAGGTGAAGCCACACTCAACCTCTGGAGGCTCCCAAGCAGAAAATGGCTGCTCATGATAGTTTTGAAGTTGTCGTTTTGAGCCTTTGCCTACTTCCCGTCCCCAATCGACCATACAAGAAACTTTGTTTATAGACTCTCTTTCATGTGTTGGGAGTTCTCCCCATGTCTGACCAATCTTGGATCAGGGCATCTCTCCATTACTCTACAGACTCTCAAAAAAGGAAGACATCTCTCCGTTACTCTACAGACTCATGAAGGAAAACCAAAATACCACATTGTGTCCACTTTGCATAGCCATATTGGATCTGATTGAAGATCGGTGAGCCAACGGTTCCACTGCCCCCAAGTCAGCCATTGGGTCCAAACGAACTTCACGGCTGCTGGCTCCGCTGTCTCGATGTGCACACCTCTCTAATGGAAGTATCGATTAGGTGGTTCTCAGCCAGCAAACAAATCCAAAGAAGGAAGAAGGGATCCAATCTCATGATATCTCATGTTGTGCGACTTCTTCCAAGAAAGTTTGGGTTCAACACCCCTGACATGAGTGAATCAGGCGATGCCTACAATTTTGTTTGTTGATACCATGTACAAAAGAGCCTCTTCTGGAACAGACTGCTCAAAGCTGGGAAGGGATGATATCAGGCAAGCTTCTACCTGATTCTATGACGGACCAGGCAGGCTTGCTAGTTGTGGCAAGACTACTCAAAGCATGTCTTCCATCATGTCTGCCACCCCAAAATTGTGCCAGGCCCGATGAAGCCTTTCATGACGCAGCCAAAGCCGCCTGCAATCGAAGAGTCCGAAGCACAAACAGCTGGCAGTTTTGACCTGATTACCCGATGCCCCTTGTCAAAGCTTCACATATGGCATGTCCTAGGTCCTAGAGGTCCTGGAGGTCCCACAGGTTAGCTCGTGAATCCTGAAAATGATGAAAGAATCTTTTTCAGAAGCGTCGCTGGTGATGCAGGAGCTTCTTTTCGCTCTTTTTCGCGAACCGTCGGCTGATGGCGAACCCAAAATTGTGCCTTGGCCGAGTTTCTCGTGGAGTACGTAGTCCCCCACCATCTGAGTCCCGGCCCCAGCGTCGGTGACCTGCACACGGGCGCCTTCGCATCAAAAGGCGACAAGAACCAGGGCCGAGTGGTTCGGAGCAAAACACCGAACTGCGAAGTCCTACGGGATCCTACGGGTAACCTCTTGAGATGCAGTATTTTTGTTGAATCCCATGACTTGTTGCAGAGGGAAACTGCAGAAATGCAACGCTGCTTGTGCTTGCCGATCAATGACCAGCACCGGGCATGACCCACTAAGGACCCAGAGAGACATGGCTCCGTCAATGAGGGCGTGCTCTTTGCATGCGAATTCCAGCTCTGCAAGTCCACGTAAACCCTCGTGCGAACTTGCTGTCCAATTCCTAGGACAAAGAGTATGAGATCGCAGGAGTTTCGTGGAAGACTCAGTGCAGGACCTTGTGAGTCATGGCAGCATGATCTGGGCGGCTCCCGAACTCAGCTATCAGAGTTTACCTGGTAGTGTCTGAAGTTCGCCAGGACTCCCGCGAAGGGAGCTCCAGATATATCTAGAGATATCTAGACGGGATCTATTCTTAAAATCTTTAAATCACCTGGAGCTTCTCTCATTCACCATCCTTTTGTTCCCACTGACTCTCGGCCTGGAAGGGCTCCCCACAGGAGATGTGAAGGACTTCGCCCTGCCGATCGAAAAACATCAGCATGGCATCCCCGTCGATCGGGAACAAAGTTCCAGTGTCTGTGAGAACAATGGCTGACACGTCAGGGCTGACTGTTCGACAAAATTCTGAAAATGAGTCGTAAAGAACAGCCTCTGTTTGTCCACAGATGTGTCGTCAGGGCTGCTTGTCCCTGCAACCTCATCCACAAGTCTTCTAAGCTACGGAGACGTCTGCCAGGTGCGTTCTGCCAGGCATGAGGGGTGGGCCACACACACAGAAAGGCAAATATACTTTGAAGGATGGAGATGGTGGCACTTTCTGTTTCAAGACTTTAAAGGACCAACTCTCTGGGGAATTTGATCTACAAGTAGGAAGTCTCACTTTGATCCCTTTACCCTCGGCTTTGCTCCTTTCCCAGCCTGGTCAACCTGATCCACATCTGTACATTCCACACCATTGGAGTGGAAAGCCTGGCAATGCTAGTAGCGGTGCTCCAAGCGTTCTTGTGTACCACTTCTGAAAAGTCCAAATGTAGCTGGGCGTATCTAGCTCAGTCAGACATCCATCCTGGATGGATACCTACTTTCAACATGATGTTTGAAAAAGGTCTCAAAAGCTTCATGTGTTGTCTTTTGACACATGTTGGACCCAGTTCAAATCTGCCCTTCTGCTCACGGGATGATACCTGCACAAAAGCTTCTCCTGAAGTCCTTGCTTGCATGAAGCTCCCAAAACACTCCCCTTTGTCGTTAGTCTAGCAAACCATGAGATGCCCAAGATGCCCAAAAGCCTATCTGACTTCCATCGTCCAAAAGGAGGACCAATCCAGTCCAAATCAATCTATCCATCTTAAGGCAGTAGCCACAAGGGACCATGTGCATTCCGTCTCATCAACTTGTCATCTACCCTACCCCAATACATACCAGCCACATCCACATTGCAACCATTCAAAGTGAGGGCAGCCGAAAGCAACAACTGTGATGCGGAAGACTGCGGAATACCTCAGCGCTTGCTAATCATGAGATTAAATCTCAGAAAAGCAAAAAGAAACAGGCGATCTTGTGCCTGCAGGATAAGAACAGGAGGTTTCGTGCGGTAACCGTATAGTACCTGTTGTGTTGCGCTTTTCAACCATGCCGCAAACTCGAGTCTTTGCCTTGGCTGCTGGAGTCTCCATGTCTAGAGCCTCACACCCAGGCAGAGAACGACATCACCATCAAGCATGGCACCGCCAAGACATCTTTCAAGATTGACCAAGCACCACTAGCATACCAGAATCCACATTACATAATACATGTAATACATGTCAATGTTCGATCCAAAGGAGCATGCTGCTGTGCATCGTGTTTTCACTCAAGCGATACTAGTTGAGCCTGCAAGAGATACTACCGTGCTCAACAACTTGGGCGTTCCATCTTTGTGGTCAAGCCAGCGTTGGATATCGTTGCCTTGGTGCACTTCTCGAGCAAACCTGCAATCTTCGTATGGGGTGGCAACCTCGCTGGAGACACCGGCGAGAGTGGATGACGGGTCTTCGTGTTAAAGCTCAAAGATGGGTGTTGTCATTTGTGAACCTCTGAGCCCATGTCAACTTTCAAACTTTCTTTGTAGCTTGCATAGAGAAATACAACGTGTTCACTGTATAGATCCTCGAGGCAAAACTGCCGCTGTTGTCGGCAGTTGTTTTTCAAACCCTTAAAAGTGGTCCTTGTCAAACAATCGTCTTCACAGTATCCCAAAAACAGACCCAACAACACAAGGCCTTTTGGATGGGCATTGAAACGTCTAAACTCTTTCACTCTTCAGTGGCCATGTTTCGGTCTCCTTGCGACGTACAGGTGGCGACGTCCATGTCGGATGTTCCATGATTCTTTTCACTCGTCGGCGAATGCTTCGAACACCAGTTCCACAGCCAACATCTAATTAAATGACGTACAAAGAAGTAGAAATCAGCTGAGGGAGGTTGCCATGCCTCAGAAACAGAGAGAAAGGGAGCAAGAAGGACTCTAAGGTCACCCCTCGCGGTCCGAGGCGATGACAAGACTTCCCTTAGGGCATCTGAGGTGCCATTCCTGGCGGATGTAACCCTTCGATCAGTGAGTCATAGTGAGTCATAAATCAGATTCTCTGGATTGGATCGATCGGTGTGTAGCTCAAGACATAGAAGAAACCGACACACCCGGCGTTCGGAACTTGCGACCGCCTGGAAGGTTCGGAAAATACAGGGCATCTCCCTATTACGTTCCACACCCATCTCTGTCTTACAAGATCGCCTGGAGTTCATGTGTTCATCGCTGTCGGAGGTTCCAAGCTTCGGACCGGTGGTGCCGAGACCAACCGAGACCGCACCGAACCAGCGGAGCGAATCCACTGAATGGGCATGGGGTGGCAGGAAGATTGAGGATGGGCTCCACCTCTGTCATGGCAATTTCACTTTGTTGTATTTGTGTGCGTTAATCCGCCGGCCTGCCGGCGTGTTTTGTGGATTGTTTTGGTTAGTATTGCTTGTGTTGGCTTCAATCTATGGTTTGTCTCTCCGCGCGGATTTTTCGACAGCCTGACGCCCCCCCCCCCCCCCCCCCCCCCAGGTAGTAGGTAGTAGGCAGCAGTAGTAGGTAGTAGGTAGGAGGTAGTAGGTAGTAGGTAGTAGGTAGTAGGTGGTACGTAGTAGGTAGTAGGTAGTAGGTCGCTGGATCGGAATAGACAACCATTGGACCGAGACATGTCGATCGCTGGATCAGAATAGACAACCTCTGATTCGGATTCGTTCCATTTCATTGTAAAACGACTTCGCTTGAAATCAACAGCAACAAACTCTCCCAGCAAAATGTGCAACTCCAATGCACCCACAAGCTCAATCAGGGTGTTGTTGTTCGATGTCATTCTGGGTCTGTCACTTCAAACGGTTTGGAGAAAAAACGACAAATCATGCCAGATCTAGAAATTCTTCGGTCGCTTTGAAGCCTTCTGTGTATGAAAAAGAATATCTGGTGCGTGTCGCAATCCCTCGAGACGGTCGAAAAAAAAGATCTGAAAAGGAAAACATGCACACGGCCAAGTAGTTTGGAAGAAGAGTCGTTTTCAAGGTCATGTTTTGTGGATAGTCTTGGTTCGCATTGCTTGTGTTGGTTTCACTTGGTTCCTCTTAGGTGATTCGACTGAGACATGCCGGTTCGGATCGCTGGATCAGAATAGACAACCTCTGATTCGGATTCGTTCCATTTCATGGTCAAACAACCTTGAAATAAACATCAACAAACTCACCCAGCCAAATGTGCACCTCCAATGCACCAACAAGTATGATTGAGCAGGGTATTGTATCATTAAGCTGCCTACCAATGCGGGCTCGAGCTGGTGGCCGGCGGCATGCCGAAGGCTGTAAATATTTTTTTGGGGGGGGGGTTGCGGTTGCGGCTGGGATGTTAACACATGTTAACACCACATCACCAGATCTCCTTCACCATTCCCCCGTCGTACTAACACGCGCGCACCTTCGAACGAAGATCTTAATGACGTCGACATCTGAGAAACTGGGCCGGAAGCTGCCGGAGGCTCGGTTGGGGACCCTAGTGGGTGCCTTGCAGCAATGAGACTTTAGTCTGCTGTGGATCCCGAAGATCCCGGTGAATCTGTGGATCCCAGTAGATCAACTGCATGGGTGTATTGTATGGAGCCTACGGCATGTTGTTCAAAGCCGTCAGACGATGTTGGGAGTGTTTAAGTCATCACCAAATCTCAACAAGCATTTCCAAGGCATGCGGCAGCCCAGGATTGAAAGGCTCTCTCTCTCTCTCTTGAAGACTCCAAGCAGCATGCATAGTTCATCCAAGCCACTCTACGTGAAAACTGTCAAAAGCGCCAAACATGGCTGTTGGCCCTGGCAACGAGGCTACAAGACATGCACAGGCTTGGAGACTGCAGCTGAGTTGACATCCAATCATGTAGCATTTGCTCCTCTCGTCCATTCCGATCCACCAAAGTTGGGGACAACACACTAGTGGATTCTGAGGGAGACAAACATCTTGCGGGGCCCTGGCACGCCCTTGAATTCAAAGACGCTTGGATTCTTCTTTTCGACACACAGACTCCTTCACAGTTCACAAATCTCAGTCTGGCCTCCGAGAAGGCCTAAGAGCCGCTACGCCATGGACCCTGATCGACAGGACCCCGTACGGGCGGTGGGATGACTGGCACAAGTCTCAACTTTGGTTCGTGAAGTGCGAAAAGTGTTTGGGAATCCGGGAAAGCGTGAGATGCTAGCATCTGTTAGCCTGCAGGCACAGATCTCCAAGATCCTACTCTCCCAGCGTCCAACCTTTCAAGATTTTAGGGCCTGAAGAGGCCAGCAGTAGCGTCCGATCGCTCCTAGTAGCGATGCCCTTTGTTCCTACTATTAGCGTTCTTGCTCCTAGTAGTAAGGCCAGCAGCCCCGTTCGTAGCGTCCGATCGCTCCTGCCTTAACGAAATGGTCCCAGTCCCAGTCCGGACGAACCGAAAACGTCCACCGGTTGAAACCGGTGTCGACCAGCCTCTCTCCACCCGTTCGCTTCGGCCCGCGCGGCCCCGCTGCGAGCCAGTGCAGACATGGCACAGGAGTGCGGAGATGGGGTGTCGACATGTGGAAAAACGTACAGATTTGACTGCGCACATCAATTGGAAAGAATTACTTTCCCCTCTCATCTCAACACATCACACATCATGAAAAATCATGAAACATGATGGGTTTTGTAGTTGGATAGATGTTCGGAGCAGTCTCACTGACCATTGGTGACCATTGCCTTTTTCGGAAAGACGTCCCAAGGGCCCCCGTCACCGAACACCGAACCCAAATCGACGCGCAGCCGGCGCGGAGACTTTTCGGTGCCTCACCGGAGAGGTCCTCGCACCAGAGAGGACGAGATCCACCGTGGGAGGTCGTTGATCCAGATGATCGGCGGTTGCCTCAGCTTGTCCCCATTGCCTCAGCAAAACTACTTGGGACGAAGCACAGGCAAGCCATGCACAGAAAAATCATGGTGCGGAAAATGATCTCCTCTGTCCACCCCCCTAGCCGCTCTAGCCTCGTCCACCGACATTCCGAAGTCGCTCTGAGTGGTCGATTTCTGGGCAACCTGGCCTTGTCCAGGTCATTCCAGGTCGTCAAGCAGGTCGCTGGAAAGTGCCTTGAACCCAAACCTCAGTCTGGAACAGGAACCTCCAGTTGACTGGAAGGACAGGAACTCAACAGCAAATTAAACTATGTTGGTTTAGGATATTTTAGGATGGTTTAGGTTTCTATTGTATGGATTCACATTAACATAGATGAACAATGTGTTCCGAAAGGATTAATTCAGTTTGTTTGTCGCTCGAATGTTGCCGGCGTTCGCCACAATCCTATATCACAAAAGAAGTGGCTCCAAACAGTTTTTTGTGACTAGAGTTGTGTGCCAAGCCACCTTTACTCTAAACCTATGAGTATGAGTAGTAGAAGGCCGAGGCAGGCACATCTTGACAATATGCTTCAAACGTTGTGAATCACCTGATATAAAAACCAGGGCGCCATCAATACCTGGCTCTTCGCCACAAAAATCCGTAAATGCCCTCAGCTTCACGGCCAACAGCTGTAGCAGCGTTTCAGTTTTGAAATCCGCCGACCTGTCTCGACGATGCCAAGGAAGATTCATCAGATTCATCTCAGGAAGCTTCGATCTATAAACCCATCTGTTCAAACACCGGCAAGTCAACTCAGTCTCCGACGCGAGGCATCACAACCTCGGTTTCAAATGAATGCTTCTGTTTGGCGCATCGGTTCAAAGGCGCAAGGCGCAGGGTCATCGAGATTGGCCTCCGTAGGCTTCGCTCAAGCTACAATGGAGCAACAAATGGCTGCCAAATGGATGGCTAAGTGACCAGTGGGGATTACAAGATTCTCTACCAGGTTTTGACCATATAGCTTATTTGTTCTTCCAGTGATGTCCCCATGGATCCCACTACCCCTTTCCTGTGCGCGCCCGGCGCCGGTGCCACGGTTGACCACCTCGTTGCGTTTGTACTCGCAGCTGAGCCTCAGCCGTCCGGCCCGCATGGCATGGGCCACCCTCTTGCTCCATGGAGAAGAATGAGAATCCACTGATGAACATGTCCTGGTGGAGTCTTCTATTCAAATGGCCCGGAACCCAAAAGTGCGGAACCTTGAAATCCCTTCAGGTGGATACAATCCTCATCCAACGGGCACGGATTGCTTTTCTTTCCGCTTCTCGCTTGCGCTTGGGCTGCACGAAGAGGGCCTCCAGAAGCAGCGCGACGCATTGAAGAAACGTCCGGAATTCGGAGCCAAGCACGTCATCGCTGGAAGTTCTCCGCCGCACCGCGCCGTCGTCGTCGCTCGGTGGACCGTCCGCACCTCACGGTCGCACCGTGCCGAAGAAAGAAGCCCTTCAAGAGCCGGCGAACCTGCAAGACCGGTGTGTTTTCACCAACGAAGACAAGGAGTCAAGGAGCGTCCAATTTCTGACCGGTTCGGCAGAACTAGAAACAACATGTATAAAAAGGCTCAAGAAGCAAAATCTCAGAAGCCTGCAAGCATCTCTCTTAGTGAGTGGTCTCGTGCAGCCATAAAGTAGCCCGTGCTTGATGCCTGGAGTCTTAACTCGATCCTGATCCCTCAGCGCCTTCGGAGCATCCTCGGCCCGTGGATGCGTGAAAGGGCCCTGACAGGCACCGGCCGTCAGAAACTCCAACGTGGGAAGGGCACGACGCCAAGCGAAAGAACAGGCTGTGGAAGTACGATGTGTTCGCGCGTGGCACATCACCAAGCAAAACAATCGCCACATCCAGACCTGACAGTCGCAAGATCCCTGTCGTGCCCAAGTGGCACAAAGCTTGCCCAGGCCGTTCTCACGGCCTGCAGAAATGGTGCGAGTTATGGAAATGGGCTCATTCCTTTGCGGCAAGAATAGGAGCGTTTTGCCAGATTCACGACATCCCCTTTGGTTCTGCATGCCCGGGCATAGTGGTCTAGAGAATCTCAGAATCAGCTTTAGTCTTCTGGTTCCCTGGCTCACTCACAAAGCACATTCTGCTTCTTCTACTACTTCCGTGCATGTCTTTACGCGGCACCTGGATTGGCAAAGTCAAATGTTTGTCTATCAAACCACTTAATGATCCAATGAAGGACCCGCAGAAGATCTTTCTACTTTGATCAGTGCCGGTTATGCGCACTGAATATGAAAGTAGCCCCATGTACGGCCGCCAATATCCACAGACACGAAGCCAATGATCCAAGTCACAGAACTCGTTGAAGGCCTCACAGTACACAGAAGTACAATCGATAAAAACCATCGCAAAGCATTGCAAGAAAAGTCGGACTGGTCACCTTGTTGACTGCTGCATTGCATTGTCACCAGCCACCCACCACAAGGACAAGAGTTTGAACAAACTCCATTCACAGCACATCAAGACAAATCACGGATCCCACAACCGAACCACCCCGTTATACAAATATACCCATATCACTTCTGCCATACATCCGCGGACCACATTGCGACGTTGAAGATCAGCAACATCACCAAGCATCACGCGACTCGGCCACGCATCAACACACTAACTGATTAACTTCCTCCCATCCCCCACACCTCGCCAGCATTCAAACAACTTGTTGCGGATCAGAAGCCTGTTGTGGAAACCCAGTCCCCATTCGTCTCCAAACAGCATCACTCGGAAAAAGTCGCTCTCAAACATCGCCTCATCCCATTCCGCTCGCAGCATCGGATATTCCCGGATGGATCAAGCCCAAACAGCCCCGCTCTCGGATCGGCCTTCCGCTCGAGTGCCTCGGGGGCGGCTTTGGCCACTCCCCGCAAGCGAGCAGGCAGCTCATCTCTGCTGGTGCAAAGAACACAGCCAGGAGGTGCCTCAACAGGTGGAAGCGGACGAGGAAGTGGAAACTCCCTAGAAGTGAAAACAATCTCCCAAAGCACCAAGGAAAAGGGTCGAGGAAATCAACGCCGCTGGATCCATTGGCTGCAGCTTGCTATGGCCCAACTCCCTGCCTCCACCCGCGGCAGGGCCGTCAGCACCCACAGGGTCACGTAGGGTGCCACATATTTCCTGCGGACCAACCCGCACCGCGGCGCGAAATATCACGCGAGGCGTCACACGCGAGGCGTCACACGCGAGGCGTCACATGCGAGGCGTCACACGCGAGGCGTCACACGCGAGGCGTCACACGCGAG